ATATGACTGCATTCCTCCTTCTCCTCTGCCATTTTCTGGATGAAACTGAATCTATTTTCAGTTACAGTTTTTCATGTGTTCAAACATTAGAAAATGAGAACAGTTAGAGAAAATGCAAATATACCACATTGTAATTTGCTCTTACAGTCTTTCCTGTTTCCTGCTTTATGTGCAACAATAATAAAAATAAACAAGAAATGATTAACCAATCAACTTGTTTGTGGAGAAAGAAAGAGAAAAGGTTAAGGGCTAAAATTTGCTTAACTAATTTATTATAAAAGTCTTTAGACTCAGAAGTCAGAGGTTAAAGACCCCTATCCCACAAATACATTAATGGTCAGTTCACAGAGTGGCCATCAAGAGTCCAGAAAGCAAACTACTCTGTCCAAAAAACTTGTACAATAGCCTGTTTAGGGTGAAGTGGGGGAGAACTGAAGATTTTCCCTCAGCATTTCCAATGTGAAAGGACCAAGCTGGCTGCAAAATAACCTTGGATAGTTATATCAGGAGTGGGATTTACACCCTTCCTTTACCAGTCCAGATGAAGCAGAATTACCCAAGTTATATCCATAAGAGAATACCATAATCCCCATCATTTTCTAGTAGCTGTGTGTAATAGTTTTCCATATGTCCAAAAATTTATCTGAAAATATGACAACTTCATAAAGCATGTATTTGTTTATGTGACATACCATTTTTTATTTTTTTGTAATTATCTTTGTTGTTAAGTCTAAAATGAAAATCTGACTTGGTGGGAGAATTTAGAAAGGATTTCCTGCCCAATATAAGCAGAATCATCTACCATGATTCCAAACTTAACTAAAGAGATAAAGGTAGAGGTTATGGAAACTAATTTATTACAAGAAATATATGTAGCTTGAAGATACAAAATGTCACAAAGGCAACATCAACTGAACAAGCACCAGATCCAAAGGTCAAGTATAAAGACTTGTCTCACACATCTTCCAAAAAGCAAGCAGTATCATCATCATCATTCCTCATCACCATCAATAACGACAACTGCAGTCATTATCATGATGAGGCACTCACTGATGATTCTCTTGGGTGCAATGTATAATACATGGGCTAGAAACAACCATGGACAGATAAACTTCTCCTTCTCTTTAAAAGGTGGTTTATATTCTAGGTTTATGTGACATGAGCCCCATAATCCAATATCACATCTGAGAAAAATGCAGGAAAAATGGAAGACAGGTTTTTATTTGCAGCTGTGTTGTAATTCAATCGTTCAGTTCAATTATTTCAATTTAATAATGATGAAAATTTTAGTTGTTTTACAACATGAGCATTGTGATTTATGATAGGATATCCTTGCAGCCCTTAAAATAGTGAATAGTTCCTGCCTATCTAGCTTTCCTTGGGACGCCTGCCTCAATGCCAAGTTATCAGACATGTTCCTGACCTTTTGGGAACAGTTTAATGATAATAATGCCAGGAGAGAGTAAAAGAGAAATACAAATGATCAAAAGACTGAAGGAAAAAAAAAATGGAAAGGAAAAAAAGAGTTTATATGGTTTGTACCATCCAGTCTGGCAAATTTTACAGATGCTTTCTGTTTGCTTGGGATAGTATATTTCTTATGTCATTTCTCTTCTTTCTTTTTTTTTCCCCCATACACTTTGCTCTACCACCTTAGGCTGGAAATATTTTGTATGTGTCCATACTGTAAACACTCATATTTTTCTAGAGATTTAATGTGATGGAGAAGCTCTTTCTTCTTCTTCTTCTTCTTTTTTTTTTTTTTTTTTTAGTATGCCACGGGTTAGACACATCAATATTCTAGCTACTCACTTTCGAGGCCAATGGAAAATGTGTTCCTAAGATTAAATAGACTAGAGTAACACATAAATTCAGTTTATACCGATGCAGTATGTTTCAGATACTCACAACCTGAATTTCTAATAACTGGAATACACCTGTTGGACAACACAGTGCCACTACACAGTCACTGACCTGCAATTCAAAGATTGGGAGGCAGGACAAAATTGGAACTACCGGCCCTCTATGGAGAGACTCATTTGCACAAAGCAGTTCTTACCAATGGAACTCTGTACAAAGGAGAGAGGCTAGCCATGAAAAGCTGGTTCATAGAGGTTTCTTTTAATATTTTTAGAACACACTAGAGCAACATGTACAAGTATATAGGGAGTGCATGCCCTTTGTCTGCAACACACATTCTCCTCCCACCCTTAGTCTCCAAACATAGTGCTTTAAAAAGAAAAACATCCAGACTAAAGATATAAGTTCTCCCTTTTCAGATATCCTAAGTGACTCTTTAGGAAGAAACCTTTTGTTTCTATCAATAAATCTTAACAAACTATGAACATTTAAGTCCACTGCTACATTTGGCTTAGGTAAGTTTACCATGTTTATCTATTAAGGGTTTGCGAGAGTCATGCTGTACTTCTAAGTATTCAGAAGACTTTTCTTTTTCACCTCAGGCACAGAAGTGTATAAAAATCCCTTGCATACAGTAATGAGTTTATTTAATGCTTTGTAGATTTGGCGTGCAAAGTATCATCCTAAATTTGAGTCAAGTGAAAAAAGAAATGCCCTTCCCTCTCCAAATACTTTAGTTTCTCAGGAAATCTAGCCAAACATGTGAAATGTCTCTCTGGTCAACAAAATTGCTCTTTGGCTTACAGATGTGACTAAAAACTTATGTAACAGTCCGATGAGATTTTATGATCAATTGCTACATTCTAGAAAGTATGATGGCAGTATATTCAGAAGGAAAATACTTCCATACATTGACTAGAACTATTTCACTGAATGATTTTAACACTAGCATGTAAAGAAGTCCTGATGGACTAAGTGTCATGGACATTTGGGGGTTTCTTCAAGATAACATATGGGTAGGAAAGGAAAAAAGATTGGCTGCAAGTTAGTCATTGTGCAAGCAGGGTGGTGGTGGGTCCTGGGGAATTCATTGCATAATCTGCCTACATTCACATGTTGGAAATTTTTCACAATAAATTTTAACACATATACTGACTTTAATTCTCATTCATTTACTCTTTATTCAGAATAATTTACATTTTACATACAAGATATTTAGATGTGTAAAAAGTAAAGACAAAAAATGATTTTGTTGGATAGTTAGAGTAAGTAGACAACCTCTTTGGGAATGATACGTAATTATTTAAAATGATTTTTGGAATTCTGTAATTACACATAAAATTTTTAGGTTAAATTTTGAAAGCAGGACATGAAATTATATAGAAAATATGATACCAGCATGTTTTAAGTAATATGTCCTCAAGGGAAAATGAGAGTAGGAAATATATCACATGGTTATTAACGATTAGATTTAAATTATAGAAATAATTACTTTACTTTTTCTTCATTTCACTGCTATGTGTTTTTCCAAATTATTTTTAATGAGCAGGTATCATTTTAAAATGAAAATAAATATTTATTCATTAGTGGATAAGATGCACTTTCCTTTCCCAAGGAGCTTTTCATTTACTAAAACAGAGAAACTGCAAACACATAGCATTGCCCTGATAGTTTAAATCTTTCTACCTAGAAGTGAAATATACCCACAGGCAAAGAAACGTCAATACAGATTTTATCTGATCATAGAAACATAAAGAGCTTTCTGTGTTTTGGATAGAAACAGGGGAGGAACTGACTTCGGTGCAAGTCTGAAAGAGTGTGCGATTCAGGCCGTTGTATGATGAGATCATTTTGCTATGAATGCAGAGACAAATTAAAGTTACCAAATAAGCCTGTCCCCTGAGCTCTTGACACATTGATATGAGTTTCTTTTGGGACAGCATAACAAATAAACCTTGGGAGTGGGAGTGGAGAGGGAGTTACAATCCTAAAGGCTTATGGCCTTTACATGTTCAGAGAAACAGAGATAAACGTGTAACAGAATTAGAAACAAAAATACGGTGACAACTATGGATTATGTGCAACAGATATGGAAAGTCCCTCTCAGAAAGCTATCTTTATTATCCCAAGAGATTATTTTCCTCACTTTATACACATTATATAAAGTGAAATCAAGAGTGTAACTGTTAAGGTTTGGATGAATATGACGATCGTGACTAAACAGGCCTGGCTGGAGCTAGGCAGAATATAGTCAGATGCCAGGCAACTAACCCTTTGTCTCTTCTACCCTCTCCAAAATATTTGCCAGGTATTTCAATGGGGGCCAACTTCTAACAAACTCAGTGCTTTGAGGTACTATCTGACAAGATGATGCTCTACCAATATACCATCAGTCTTAACCTGCACTCTCCTCCCAACCACTGAATTCTCAAGAATTCTAGATAGCCACATCACCAACCTTGTAGATATATTTTAAAGCCTCGTTTTAAATTCTCAGTGTGGAAGACGCTGACTCCAAAGATTCAAATCTAGGCTCACATGAGTTCTAACTTTGGGTCTCTTCCCTAACCTTTAACTAGCAAAGAGCATTTCCCCCTTCTGTTAATGGGTACACGCAGAGTAACCGTGTATGATTTTAAATAGGATCCAAACAAGGCAAATACATTTCAAATTTATAGCAGATCATAGAGAAAAATTTGGAGGATTTTGTGCTGGTTTACTTAATGACAAAGCACTGTTGCAAGTGGCAAACAGAAGTGACCACTGTCACCCCATCACCCTACACACTTGGGTGTCTCCTTTAGCTGTACACATGTTTTGAAAGTCTTCAAATGTATCTTTGACTATTTTCAACCTTCTACAGCAAAATCATTGTAAAATATTTTCCAAATTAGTGATAATAGATTCTTCGGGTCATGTTTCTTATCATTCTAAATGATAGCATTTCAGGTTAAAACACAGGATATGAACCATGTTTTCTTCACCAATGTCAAAATCTGTCCCACCTAAATTGAATACTTGAGGCGTACTTTCACCACAACCTTTTGGAGATTGGTAGAAATATATCTGACATTTTTTCTACCTCTATATTTTGGAAATGCCATTTAAAGATAATGATAATTACTTACCAGACAGCAACGTTGTGAGGAATATCCAGTTACTGATGGTGAAACATCCTGAAATGAAAAGAGGGCCATCAATGCCAAGTAGTTAATAAATGGAGGACAAAATGGCAATCATAGAAAATAGCCCATTTACGTCTTACTTTGGGACACTGACTTTGTGACACTATAGAAAAAAAATAAAGGATCTTCCCTTTGGGAGTGGAATTTAACTGTGAACTGAGAAAGTGGCTTTTGTAACTGCCTGAATGTTTAAGGGTTGTAACCAGTTGCAACCAGTTGTGAGTAACTTGCTGCCCGTTTCTGCAATTCACTGTAACTTGTGTTGAGAAAGTTATGTTTTATGGTTAATTATCCATGGTCTGTTTAAAAAAAATAAATCAAACCATTGTGAACCACCAGGATTTGCAGCTCCATTTGAACTTGACTGTACTTTTGATTAAACATTTTGTAAATAAAAACAAACTGGTTTCTCCTAGTTTTTGGTTTCTTGTTACTTATGTTTGGGATATAAATATTGTGACAATGGTGGGAAAACAACTATGGATTATTTACCCCTGGTTTCAGGAGTTGTGAGTTACTGGCTTATCCTCCATCATGAGTGTGTGTATATAATATATATATATAAACGTACAGTATTCTATTCCAAGTCCTGATAGACAAATGGAACGAATGAACTGAAATCTTTTAAAATCAAAACTTTTTATGCTAAACACAGAGTAACAAACAAACCTCAAATTAATATTTAAAAAGCTTCTACTGTGGGGCAACAAAACCCTTGAATTTTATATAATTTGAATTTAATAAATTGCTACCTGATAAAAATAATCAATAATTTCACATGCTTGTCCTTTCACTATCTTTGTAATTTAGAAGCCACAGGTAGCTTAACCAGAGATCACCTCCAATGTTACCACAAGAATGAAGCCTTGAAAATATCCAGCATTACTAACTTAAGCCAAACTGAGTTAGAAAGATCTGGAAGTACTGAACTAAAAGTAATGAAACACTATATAAAAGAACTCTATATAAAATTTGTCTACAGTCATCATCCCAGGGTCTATATAAATTTAAAAAAGGCTAAAAAAGTACTTGTCCAGAGAAGATGAGACAAGCCAAGATTCAAAAGAGCCTGTGGCAGAGTGCAATAGGAGTATATTTGAGAACCAGAATGCTAAGTATATGTCACATTTGCATATAAAACTAAAGAGGAGCGCCAAAGTAGCTGGCCAAAAATTGTTTTTTCCTAAATTATTCAATGATCTGTTCTGTTCTGACCATTAAAAAAGAACCTCTAGGGAAGGTGTAAAATTGCCTTCTGCAATTTGCTACTTTAGTAAAGACAGATGAGAAGGGCTTTCTTAGGAAACTGGATGATCTCTCTGTTGCTGAAAGTTGAAGAGTTCTATATCCTCTTTTACTTACCCTTTTATTATTTACATGACTTAGTGGTACAAGCGCTATGACTGGACAGTCACAGAAAAGTGCCTCTCTGGTTCACCAAAACATGGTAAAATATTAATGAAGCAGCTAACATGTGTAAGGGTATACCTAGAGTGATTCTGTTCAAATAGGCAAGCCAGGCACAGGTTCTTGTTGCCATATTAAAAAATATCCGTTGCGGACTGACAAAGTACACAGCTGAGGGGAGCAGCAGGTGGGACAGGAGAGGAAGATCACCTCCGGGATGGGGATCCAACTCATGCTGACGTGGCTTTAGCTTTTTAGTGCTGTGCTTTAACCCGCTGCACCACCAGGGAGGGCCAATTAATCTTTAAAAATACATATATCAGTTGCTATTGCTAACAGCAAGAAATACTAGGTTGAAAGAGTTGTGTAGGGCTTCGGAGAAATTAGAAAATGTTTAAAACTCCCCAACTTTTTGCATGTTCTGGGAATAGCAAACTTAAATCTTCCAGCCTTTCTAAGCTTGAATCCCATAATGCAGACGAGAGACCAGAAGTAGCCTATATGTTCCCAGTACTATGAAAATGGGGGCTAAACAGAATTATCCAGTATCCATTGGATGTTGCAAAGTCAATTGAAAGGTCAAAATGGAAGTTATTCTGAGAAACTGAGGCAGGAAAAAAGTTCAAAGACCTTTTGCTCAAAGACATTCTCTTCTGTTTCATTTACAACTGGATTCCTACAACTGTTTTTGACAACCACGAAAATGCTCTTCTAGGGAGTTCTAAGTTGTCTTTTAAAACATAGGCAACCTATTTGAACATGAGGGTACTCTAAATGACTTCCTGTATATAGAACTACACAGCCAAAATAAGCACTTGATTATAGGTGATTAATTGTGTTAAGTTATAAAGAATGAATTTTACATGGTGCAGAATTCATTTTGATAATCAGGTATATACATACAAAATTACATTTGGAATCAAAACTTAGTCTTGACATGTGTTCAGAGACACTTAGAAAAATTATACATGTGAGTACGACTGCCTGGTTAAAGATTAGAATATTCAGACCAATTTGCACTATTTTTTTCAGAAACAAATCTATTATTGTTAGTCTTTTAAAGAAAAAAAAAGAGAAAGCAACCTTTATAAATCTTTAAATTTTGTAATATTCTTTAAACATTTTTTTTAAAAGATTTATTTATTTATGCATATAGA